AAATCTTGGTATCTGATGATATAGATGAACTGTGAACAACCATAAATAAGTGATAGGCTGGGCTGGTCCTGTTTCACTTCTGATCAAGCTGTTTTAGAAAGTTTTCCTTGAAGGAAAAAATCTCCTCTACATGAGCACTCTGCAGCTAAGCAGGGCACAATGTCATCCACTTAAAAGGAAAGAGGGATTGAACGGGTGAGTGACTTTTTGCTTAGAAAATTTTAATTTGAGTCCAATTTAAATGAATGAGGCAAAGTTAAAAGGTTGAAAAGAACTGAGTTCGGGGGGGGGGAGGGAGGGAGAGATGGATATCACAAAGAGCAAATCAAACAGCATTTAGTGATATGCCACAGACATTTCTTTTTTTTTTTGCTATTTATGGAAAATAAGTTATTGATATTGATTTATGATTAATGTGCTATTAGGTTCATGCCTACCTTTCAGAAGGACACTGACAGGAATAGAAAAGCAGAATAATTCAGGACTGGATAGGCAGGATGGAAAATATTGACCTGGGGAGAAGGATTGGTTTGTGTGGAGTAAAGAAAATCTGGTGGACTGGGGCAATACTGTTTAGATATATGATCTTTTGGAATATAGCTGGGCCACATAGGGGGATTGGCCCTGAATCTTGAAGTTCTACAGAAAATACTATTGTTCCCGAAAGCATACTTTTTGATTCAGTTTAAATGAGCCTCCTGGCTTTACCAACCCCCAAACTCAAGTTATTAAAAGTACAAAAGATGGGGATGAAGCATCAGGGGGACTTTAAGAGCAGCAGACACAAAAGAGCTGAGAAGATTTTAAAAATAAATGAGAGACATAAGGATAATAGTTCCAAAGTCTTTAGAAATTGCTGTGGATGATGATAAAGAAGGAGATGGTTTAAACTGAGGGAGGATTTGGAAAGGGAAAATTAAAAAAAAAAAGCAAACACTGAGTGGCTACAGGATTAAGTTCTTTTACGTGATGAGGAAAAAGTCAGGAAAAAATGGAAAAGGAGGAAGGAATTTGAAAGTACAGAAAAGAGGCAGGAAAACTGTTTGACTACATGGAAGAATAAATTTAACACATTATTACTGGGCTCAAAAATATATAGGCCAAATTCCTCCTGGTTTTGGCTTGCACAGCGGCATGTCCCCCTTCTGGCTCCTAGGCAGAGGTGTGGCCAGGTGGCTCTGCGTGCTGTCCAATCCACCGGTGTTGGCCCTGCAGCTCCTAATGGCCGCGGTTCCTGGCCAATGGGAGCTGGGGAGCAAGCGCTCAGGGTGTGGGCAGCGTGCGGAGTTCCCTGGCTGCCCCTGAGCCTAGGAACCGAAGTGGGCACATGCTACCGCTTCCGGGAGCTGCATAGAGCCAGGGCAGGCAGGGAGCCTGCCTTAGCCCTGCTGCGGAGCCGACCAGACTTTTAGCAGTCCGATCAGCGGTGCTGACCAGAGCCTCCAGGGTCCCTTTTCAACCGGGTATTCTGGTCGAAAACCAGACGCTTGGCAACCCTAATTACAAGTTCACCAGCAATGTATTTTTCATAATTTTAAAAATATTTTCCCCCACTTCTCAACACACATACTCTCTCTCTCACACATTAATGGATTCCATGACATCTGCAAACAGAAAAATAGTTTGACTTCCATTGACTTCAGTGGGCTTTAGATTAGGTCTTGTAACAATAACTGTGTCTTGTGATATGGGCCTTTGGAACCTCAACCCAAGTCATGTGATTGCATCTGAGGCAAAGTTTCAGTTTCTTGCCAGTGCTTCTGTGGTCAAATTTGGAGATTATCAAATTTGACAGTGTTCCTTTAAATGTTTCCTTAATGGTAAGAGAGGATAAAAGCAGCCCTATAAGTCTCAGGAGGAATGTATGAATTCTACAATAGTAACAGTCAGGCTGTTTCAATTCTGCATCTATGCGCAAGTCATCTACTCAGTATTGCTAACTACAAGCATTCAAAAAACCCCACATGAATTAAGGCCCCGTCCACCCCAAATCTTGATATGGCTTCCAAATCATGAGATTTTTTTTCCAGAAAAACTAATAAGTTTTAGGTTCTTTTTATTTGCCTTCTAGTTTTAAGCCTTTCTTAAACTTTTCTTCACAACCATGAGGACTCAAAATGAATAAAAATAAAATAAAGCTGAGATTCTCCACATTCACATAACTCCAGAAACTAGAGCTTTAAGAACAGCATCAAATATCACAAGACTTAAGATAAAACTGAGAGAGATGGCAATTCTGCTCACTTACATACACAGAACTGTACCATAAAGCTTTCTACAAGATATTCTGCCTCATCGACAGATTTTTTTTAGGCTATACAAATCAAGGTTAGGAGGAGAGATTTGAACAGCATACTGACTGCAGCAGTTATCTTGTGACAAGTAGTCACCTTCCCACACTCCGTTTCTCAAGGGACTTCCCAAAGGATTTTATACATGAGTCAGTTTCTGAGACGAGGAAGAATATGCACACTGAAAACATGAACAATGTAAGATTCCTCAGAGCACGTTTGAAGATAGAGAATATCTACAACAATGGATGAAAGCAGTTAGAATAAAAGTCACAGAGTGCAAAAAGGAGGTTTAGTAAAATACTGATACTGGTCCTCTGCACATACACCCCAATTTTTTTTTTATGGATAACAACTGACCTTGTCATAATTGCTGGCCCTGTAATAGTACAATACAGTATCATCAGTTCTATCACCCTTTATCACAATACACATTTATATTATTTATATGCACAAATGTCTTATAATGACAACCGGAAGCAAGAATAAAGGAGCACAAAAGAGTGGTTAGAAAGCAGGATAAGAACTTCCCTATTTCATTAATAAGAAACACAAAATTGCATTACTCATTTTACAAAATAATACAGTCACCAAAATATAATTGAGTGTGGCCTGAAAAAGTCATTATCTCAGGGCAAGAGAGCAAATTGGACCTTTCCCTTCTATTTAAAAAGGACTCATTTAATGTGTTTCCTCAAAACTGAAGTGCAGTTTCAACAGAAAGAAGAACCAGATCTTCCTCTCTCATATCTAGCTCTTTAGATAGCTGTACCAAAAAAAGGTATTGTGGTTTAGAGTCTCTTATGGCTTCACATTTCGGAGAGAGCTTAACCCCTACACTTAACACCTGCATGTGAATATTCCCCCCCCCTTTTTTTTTGGCTAGGGGACTGACATTAACTACTCTTAAAATGGCTGTAATTTTCCAATTTATGTGCCTAAAGATAGGCACTTTAATCCGTATTTAGGAACCTAAATTAGGGATTCTGTGGTGCATGTCTTGTTCTGTGGGCTGAAGAGACCCTGGCATAATTTAGACAGCTCTGGGAGGAAGGGGGAGGCTGTCTAAGGCCTGGTCTACATGCAAAACTTATAGTAGCATAGCTATGTAGGTCAGGGGTGTGAAAAACCACACTCCCTAGAAACATAGTTAAGCTGACAAAACCCTCAGTGTAGATGCAATTATGCGGACAGAACAGTGCATATGCTGAATCTACATCGGGGGCTCTGCCTCGATAGCTATGCCAGCATAAGCTCTGTAGTGCAGGCATAGCCTAAGCTCCAGCAGTCTTCTCGGGCTTCTTTATTGGCCACAGCGCTGCCTGGAATCTCTGCAGTGCTGTGATTCCACAGCCACCCTCAGCCCCACTCCTGCCAGGACTCTATACAGGGATAAGTGAGGGGGCCCTGATGAGGCAGCCTTACAGCTATGTTCTACAGTTCCTATGCCTGGAGAATCCTCCCCTGGCAGAGTATGGGGCATTTAATCCTCTTTGCCCTGCTCTGGCTCTTTTATGCAGTGTAAAGGGGCCAGAGTGGGCCTGAAGGTCTCAGCCCTGATTTTCAGATGGCCTGAGCACCCAAAGCTTCAACGGACTTAAATAGGAGGGGCTATGGATTCTCATCATTTTTGAAAGCCGGCCTCTTATTTAGGTGCCTAAATATGAATTGGAAAGTTTTGGCTAAAACATTGGTCAGTGGGATAGATGAACCTCAACTATAACATTCTTGTCAGTGATCTCACTGTTTAGATACTCTGGGATACTATAGAACTAGGGGTGATACACTTTTGTTTCTTCTGTAGGCTGAGCACACTGCACACCTCAGGATCTTCTCATATCTCTCCAATCTCCCCGTGTGCCACCCTCCCATCCCTCTCTATTTCAGGGACTCCCTGCAATCCTCTCTTCAGCTGTGTGCCTCCTCTTCCCCCTTTGCTCTCCCTACCATGGCCCCCCCATTCTCTTCCTCCATGCCAGGGCTCTTTTTGGTACCCACTCCAACTGCATACTGGGGGTTGTGTGTGCCCCATGCCAGGCCTTTGTATGCTGCCCATACTAGGCCCCCCCATTCCCTCTGCATGCCACGGGCTATGTATGCACTCCATAACTCCCCTTTAACCCTCCACCAGGGTCCCCCATTTTCCCCCTGCCAGGGTTCTGTGTTCCTCCCCATTCTCCCCCATGCCCTTTCCCCCCTACCATTCTTATTCTCCTTCTTTCTGTTTCAGGCGAGGTCTACACTACAAAGTTTTGCTGACATATGCACCAGAATACGCCAGAATTCCCCCCCGTAAATGAAGCTTATCCGGGCAAAAAAGTTCTTTTGCCTGTGTAGCTTATGTCATTGGGGAGGTGGTTGAATGATACCAGTAAAAGCACTCCTTTTGCCTGTATGAGATGTGTTTCCACCATGAGGGCCTTTCCCAGTACAACTATACCAGCAATGCATTTGCAATGTAGATTAGCTCTTACAGCGTTAACATTTTAAACTGCAGTGGGAGGGTGGACTGAGGAAAAATGAAGGGTACTGTTAGGCTGGAATATGTTAATAGTTAACTGATTCTTTGATCTAAAGTCAATTACAGAGGTGGCTGAAGCTGCTAGCTCTCTTGTTGCAGAATGATCATTTAAAAGGAGTACTATGGACAGATATCATTTAATTATTCATTGGGTACTGCTATTTTACTTTTAAAATTATTCTACTAACCTTAGGTGGTTTAAAAGGATAGTCTGGTGAAAAGGTAATGTCAAGGAAGAAAACTCCCCCTTCATACACAGAACCTGGAGGCCCCAGTATAGTTGACCTCCATTCATAAATGTTGTCTCCTTTGGGTCCAGCACTAAAACAGAAAGCAAAAATATGGCATAATGAGTAACCACATAAAACTGAGCATATAGTACATCAGTTATATTTATGATAACATTATCTGGCAATCACATCAGAAGCAAAAATGATATATTGCATTCATGGAGCTATTCCCCAATAATACATTTGTCTGATGCCATCTTCTTTTTCACCTAAAGTGGTAATCAGACACATAAATGTAGTATAATCACTGTATTAATAAATTATTCAAATAATTATAGAAAGATTAGCTTCCTGACTGCAACTAAAATATTCTTAGTGGAGGGAGGTGAGGCAGTATTTACAATACAAGGAGACAGAGACTACTTGTCTGTCAACCATTCAGTATTCAACTACCTCGTTATCCACCTCATCACAAGGTGGCATTGCAGCAACACACATTATTATACAGGACAGACTGCATTAAAATCTTGGCACCATACAAATGACCTTCTGGCTTCACGCTCTAAGTCACTATTCTAAATCACTCCAATGACTAATACAGAAGGCTGTTTTACTCTACAATTATTACAATGTACTGAAAAGCTTATCAAAAGAAAGAGATACTAGCAGGTTAAATTGTAGGATTATGTTAACATAAATTCCTCATTTAAACTAGCAAAGTACTAACATATATTTACAATGTACAGAATATAGCTCTATATGTGGAAATAGAAAAACACCCTCCTGTATTCAATCAACATCTAGGGACACTGAAAACTAATATATTTTTTGCAACACAGCTTCCATATAAATCAAAGTAGCCTCTTTTCAAATAACACAAGCTCAGCCTCAGAACCATACATTTTATTCAGCGTGGACTTTCACATGCAGGATTTTAGTTGCAGTGAGCACAACCCTAACGTTTATTTTTTTCTGTGGATGTGTTAGTTACTTGATGTCAGTAAATATCAATAATATATTCAGATCTAATTCATCGCTAAGCTAGGTTCTAATACAAGTAATATTTTGTGTTTGAAGAACCTACAGAATACCTCTAGTTAGTGGCCTGTCTATATACAACAACAACAACAACATCAACCATTATTTCTAATTAGGATCAGTTATGATGGTGACTTCTGTGATGTGGGCACCTACCATATTTTACAGGAAAGAGGGGTTAGTGGATTTTTCAAAATAAGTGTCACAGTATTTTCTTGTTATGGCTGCAATAAAGAATTCCAGAGCATGCAGGGTTTGTGAAATAGCTGTATGTCTAGAACAGATGAAAGCTCTTGGCTATGCTCCCTACCTCACAATGTACCCACGGCGTACAATTATTACACAACATCATGTCGTGTTCACTTCTCAACTATTCATTTTGTTCACTGAAAGTTAATAAACCCTCTTCCACCTGAAATTCCTTCCGCTCCCTTCATTAAAACGTCTGATTGCGTGATTCCCCACATACAACCGGGTGACTTACTACTGTGCAGTGTACCAGTTCATTAGTAATGATATCTACATTAATTTTCTATAATATCTGCTAATGCATCTTGCATTTCTAAACTCCACACTTTCTTAACAAAAATGTGTTGCAGACACTATAATATTATGGAACCATCATTTTATAATATCAACCATACTATCAAAACTAGCAATTGCTTTAAAGATAAAATCTGTCTTTTTAAGCATCACAATAGCAAAAGAGTTGCTACCCATCTGTATCTCACAATGTCTGTAATACATCAGATTGCTAGCTGCCAAACAAATTTAATTTACCCGGTTCTCAGCTTGCATTAACCTTTGAATAATAAAGCACAGCTGAGACTGCTGTAAGAAACAAACCAGAGAATTAATAATTAAAAACACCTCCACAGCCGTTTGGAAAGACCAATCATAAGCCATCGGGGAGGTTTAATTGTGACTGAACTAGGCATTAAAAGGGCTAATTGTACACTTTATAAACCTAAACAAATGCTGGGGCCACAGCACTGCTACAGTATGTGAGGGACACAGAAAGCAAAGCCTTAAAAGCACTAGGCAATTAGTTCAAATGAAAAAGGCAAGAAGTAAAGGCAGTCTAAACTTTACATGAAAAAAACCTCCCATAATCTGCAAAGGAAATCCCTTGTCATTTTCTACAGAGACAAATTTTCTAATATTGGTAAAAGCAACTACTGATTTGATGCTGGCAGGCTAAAATGGAAGTGATATAAATGTCAAACATAGATAAAAGGTTAAATACAGTAAGCATCAAAAGAAAATCCTATTTTTACTAGACTCCATCTAGCTTGCATGAGACAGCTGAGCCCTCTTTTGGTTTTGAGTACAACTCATATGTTTTTGATTTTGGAGGATCAAAACTTAAAACTGTACCCAGCTGCCCATTATAATTACATTTCCATAACTTAATTTGGTTATTTTGTTTTGCCTACTTGTTTAGCAGTGTTAGCATCTGAAGTCAACAACCTCTTAATTCAAATAGTTGAAACACGCTACATCTATCAATTCAACTATTTCACTATGTCCACTGCACACCCAACCTGGCAGCACTGTGATAGACATTGATTTATATTAATTCAAAGATTATCTTTACAACTCAGAGGGACAGAAACATTATAATTAATAATTTAAAATAACAGCTTAAATTATGTCAAGGGTAGCAAAACTCTGTGTTTGCAATGTCTGCATATTTGGATGACCAGTGACAGTAAGCTTGGTCAACCGATATAAAACAGAGATTTATGTGCACAATGAAAGAGCTAACAGCAAGCACCAGCATAACCCTTCTTCTCTTGCACATTAATAATACTAAAGTTCAATAGATGTATTATTTCTTTCCCTTCTTTCCTAACTGTTAAGGCTTTTATTATAGTCACCATTTATGATATTGACAACAAGAGTGACAACACATGAGGTTTCTCTAGAGAAAATTCCCATATGTGCAAGCCCTTAGCTAAATCAGGGTTATAATGCAAGATAATTTAATTACCCTTCTCTCTACATGGACATCTGCCCCATACAGTGAAGCCCAAACATTTTACATTCAGTGTGATTTATATTCCAGCTCCATTAATATTATTGGCAACTAAACCAAAGATCTCAATGAAACTAAAGTAAACATCTCAGTGCTTGAAACTGTTATCTTTGGAAGGAGTGATACAGATGGACATCAGTTTGGCAAAGGGGAGATTAAATCATCTAAGGCTGAACCGACCCACAGGCAGACCACATATATATGCTGCTTTCCACTCAACTGATGTTAAACCAGTCAGTTTCAATAATGGGGATAATGATGGCTGTAGCAGTTCCAGATGGAATCACCTCAACCATAAAAATATGGTAGTTGGGATAAGGACTGATCTGTCAGATATGCCAATGATTCAGTCTCCAAATTTGAGCCCTGATTCTTAAATACTAGCAGTGGTGCAAGATAAAACAAAACAATGAACAAAACAAGACGAATTCAGGGCCATTCTAGAGCTGGCAATGGACCCTTCCAAGATTTCGAACATCTGTTTCAGGTGAAATTTGTAATAGATGGCTGATGAGGTGTAGTGTGAGCATATGTCCTCATAGGATTTGGATTTAGCAATGACTTGTCTACTGATAGCTCTGTATTGTCATTATTCCCTTACAATCGATGATACACTTCATAGTATACTGTCTGTCATATCCACTGGGGACACGCTTCCACAGCTCAGTGGCAAACTTGGGGGTGGGATGATAACAAGTCAGTTCCATGCCACCTCCAGAATGACATCAACGTGTAAGTGCTGAATTAAGGACAAAACTGGATAATTTAAAAATGGTCTCCTTTATATTTCATCTTCCAGCACATCTCGCCTAACAGGGAACATACCTCCCTCTCTGCCGTTGCCTCTAGCCTATGTGCAATCAACTTGCAGGTGATGTCTGTGCACACCACTTAGAAGAGAAATATATGTCCCTCAGATGCTTCAGAAACAACTGTAATTGAATCCATTTTGTTTTAAATGTAGCTAATGTGTTGAGTATTTTCAATTCTCACAACATATTTTAGGCAGGCAGAAAGAAGACGTACTAAAAGCTGCTTGTCCAGTACAAAGCACTGATGAACACCAAACCTTAACTTCATTTAAAGAGTGCTTATATTGGTGTATCAGTGAATTAACGGGAGAGTTCCATTACTGCGTCAGTATTACTACAGATTGTCCTAGACATATTATTAAAGAGAGTTATCTGGAGAACATAACAAAAACATGGTTGATTTTTATTTTAATCAGAGCTGTAAATTTGTACATAAATCTACTCACTTTACAGAATGTTGATCAAAATCAATGAAAATCCAAAAGGTCAAAGAAATAAAAGTATCTCCCATGTGGGTCGAAGTAGACAAATGGAATTAATTAATCACAATAATGTTATTTTCAATTAGATTTCTTAATCAAACATATGTTAAGTGTCAAAGGACCAAACACTTCCTCCTAGTTCTGTGAGGGTAGGGAGCATAAACCTGTGCACCGCATAAAGGAAGTTTTGGAAGATGGGAGGGCCAGTTCAAGGCTATGCTCCCCTTTCCCGGTCTTCTGGATCCTATTGGAAATACGAATTTTGGGCTCTGACCTTACTGCCACATCTGCAGGGAGGGAAAAGAGAGGTTACCTACCACCCTTAATCAGAGTTCTTCGAGACGTGTGGCTCCACACACCTGCGACCAAAATATTTATACTGGTAGCGTCCGTTGGTCTGTGCCTGTGCACTTTCTCACCTCAGGTGCCAAACCGAGGAACTAAGGGGAGGGGCGGACCAACTGCCTCTCCAGTTCCTTCTCTACAGTGAATCAGAGTTATGATCCAAAGCAGTGGAGAAGAAGTGCAGGTAGTAGAATACAGATAGAGACCACACACTTCAAAGAATTCCCATTACAGAAGGTAGGTAACTTCTCTTTCTTCTCCGAGTGCTGGTCCCTATGTGTATTCCACTATGGGTGATTGACAAGCAGTACTCATGAAGAAAAGTGGGCATGAGGACCCTTGTGGTACTGAAATTGAAGACCAGAGACCCAAAGGA